TCTCTCTCTCTCTCTCTCTCTCTCTCTCTCTCTCTCTCTCCCCCTCTCCTTTTTGAGAAAGGGTCTCATTATGCAGTTCAGGCTGGCCTTAAGCTCACTTTGTATCCTAGGCTGGTCTCAAACTCACACTGATCCTCCTGCCTCAGCCTCCGAAGTACTCGGATTGCAGGCGTGCACCAGCACTCCGCCTTATCTGTTTTCTTATAGGTCTTCTCAACTCTGCTCCCTTGGAGCCTCACACTGGTGACTATATTTAGAATTTTCAGCAGGGGGCAGCGGTGCATGCCCGTAATGCCAGCACTCTGGGAGGCTGAGGCAGCGAGTTGCAGGCTTACGCCTGGGCAACTCAGTGACGTTTGGGATAATGAGTGCAGGCAAGGGAAGGACTTGGTACACACACACACACACACACACACACACACACACACCAAGCCCTAGGCCCTTCCATCCCCACCCCACCTGCCGCCCTTATCTCCCGCACGCCTGCTTCCCTGGCCACCGTCACTGATTTTATTTTGCTCTGCTAATTATTTACACTGTGGGTGTCTCACATAAGACAGGCCATGTCGTTGGTGACCTTCTGCATCTGACTTCCTCAGTGCGATTGGTGCAGGCAGCTGGATTAGACAGACATATCACAGGCAGTCAGACAGGGCCGGGCCTCGAAGGAGGCAGGGGAAGACAAGACACCCTGCAACTGTAAGAGGGACAGATGCGCCCGCGAGACCAAAGGTCGAGCAAACGCTGACCTCCCTAGAGATAAGCGGCGGGATTGATCATCACCCCGTGGAAGCCAGGGAGTGTCACTAATTGGCTGCTACTGGCTACCGGATAAGCTCCTGTTCTGTATTTATGCCTGCTTGCTACATGACTAGCTTTCCCATTTGGTCCTGGATTCATCCGTTTTACCCGAGCAATGGTGCTTTCAACCTTATTTGGGGCCGGGGAGATGGCTCAGCAGAATAAGCACTTGCCTGGCAAGTGCAAGGATCTGAGTTCAATCCCTAGTTCCACCAAAAAAAAAAGAAAAGAACAAATCAACCTTCTTGGCTGGCCATAGTAGCTTTTTTTTTGGGTTTTTTTTTTTTTTTTTTTCTGAAGATTGAACCCTTGTGCTTGCCAGGGAAGCGCTTATTCTACCCAGCCATCTCCCCAGCTCCATTGGCTGGCCATAGTTTTGCCCCACCTCCTGAGCCGGTTCCCATGGCTTCCTCCTTAGACCCCCCTCACCTCATGCTTTTGCTCTACAAGAACCCCTGGAGCGGGTCAGAGAGATAGCTTAGTAGAATAAGTGCTTGCCTGGCAAGTGCAAGGGCCTGAGTTCAATCCCTGGTTCTGAAAAATAAAAAAAAATCCCTAGAAAAGGCTGATTCTGGGGCAACCCACTCAGGCCCCCTTTCTGTCTTTCACTTGGACAGGAGCTTCCTTTCCCCAATAAATATAGTCTGTTCCTTTTTTTTTTTTTTTTTCTTTGTGGAACCGGGGATTGAACTCAGGCCCTTGCGCTTGCCAAGGGAGCACTTATTCCACTGAGCCATCTCCCCGGCCCCTATATTCTGCTCTTAACCTCCATTTGTTCCTAAAATTCATTCTTCAGTTTTAGAACAGTTTGGAGAACTCGGCCCAGGCACCTTTCAGGTTGGGAGTTTCATTCCCCTGTCATGATGGTCTCAAGTGCCCCATTTTCCTGCGACCAAGGAGCAGATCTCTGTCACTGGAACTGCTGAGGGTGTAGTGGGGAGCTCACAGAAACCCCGGCTCTGGAGAGCTCTCGGTTGAGCTGGCCCCTCGCAGGCGTTCACTGGCTGGACAAGCCGAAGTCATTTCCCTCTGCGGTCTTTTGCCTGCAAGTTTCAGGGTCAGTACCAGTGCGAGGGGTCCCAGGAGACGAGGTGCAGCCGCAAATGCCGACCAAGGAGACAGAGGGTGAAAGGCGTTTCCGTCAGCCCCGCCACGCTGGGACAAAGACATCCAAGCCTTCAAGGCCTACCTGTGAGGGGCAGACGCAAGCTTTGCTTTTGTGATTGTGTTTTTTTTTTAATTAATTTATTTATTGTGTGTGTGTGTGTGTGTGTGTGTGTGGCCAGCTCAGCCCACCAGGGGGCGGGGCTGGCTGGCATGTGGTGCTGGGGATTGAACCGCGGTCGCTGTGCTTTTGCTTAGCTTAGCTTGTTCTAAGTAGGTGCTTTAGACCACTGAGCCATCTCACCAGCCCTGTGATTGTGTTTTGAGACAGGGTTTCACTCTGTAGTCCAGGCTGGCCTTGAACTCACAGTGATTCTCCTGCCTCAGCCTCCAAGCACAAGCACCACCATGCCAGACAGCTTTTAGAGACTTTTACGAAAAAGAGAAAAGGCACCGGCTGTGAGACCTGGAGAGCAGATGACCCCGCCTGGCGTGGCCTGAATGATTGGTATCTTGGGACTGGTTCTGTGAGATTCCAGGACTGTCATCTTCACCTGAGTGAGACAGGGCCGAAATCCCAGCTTCCAGGAAGCTGAGGCAGGAGGGCTGCTGCAATGGAGGCCAACGCGGGATACACAATGAGACCCTATCACCAGAGGAAGAAGAAAAAAAAGGGAATCTGATCCAAAGTTTTAAGGTAATAAGGTCGATAAATCCAGAGACGGAGAATGCGCCAGGTTTGGCTGAACGGGCTTGTGATCCCAGCACTGTGGAAGGCTGACGCAGGAGGATTCTAAGATGAAGCTCAGCCTGGGCAATTGCAATGTTTTCCAAATTTTTAAAAGGGGAGTAGGGATGTCGCTCAGCGCAAGACCCGTGGCTTCACTCCGGAAGACAGAAAATAAGTAAGCAAGCGCAGCCACTAAGCACCTGTCCCTTCTTGGAACTCAGCGGCTGCCTCTCCCAGGGCGCTGCCCACGTGCCCGCCACCCGCGCACCCAGGGAGAGTTGGGGGTGGCGCGTGCGCTTGCGCAAATCGCGGGGGCGTGGCCAGGGCTGAGGCCCGCCGGCGTCCCCCGGTTGCTAGGAGACGGGCTTACACAAGCCAGGCTGAAGTTCTGCGGCATCTTTCTCTGCTCCCGCGTCCCCTGGCCCAGCCGCGATGGCGGACTCCGAGGCCGAGGTCCTGCGCAGCACCTTTCCCTCCTACATGGCGGAGGGCGAGCGGCTCTATCTGTGTGGAGAGTTCGCGAAGGCCGTCCAGAGCTTCAGCAACGTGAGTGGGCTGTGGGCCTCTCCATCGGGGCAGCCAGCACTCCCGGGAACGCAGGGTCCTATCTGTGTGATTCTTTCTCACTCCTGATTGACAAGACCAAGCGTGGCCAGGCATGGTGGCACGCGCTTGTAATCCCAGCACTTGGGAGGCTGAGGCAGGAGGGTCATTGCAAGGAGGATTATTGGGATACAAAGTGAGCTCAAGGCCAGCCTGAACTGCACGAGGAGATCCTGTTTCCAAAAAAGATGAAAAAAAAAAAAAAAAAGACCAATCACAGGCAAGCCCTGTGCGTGGAGCACCCTGGCCCAGGCTGGGCCGGAGCCCATGATCCTTTTGCCTCAGCCTGGCAGGGTGCTGGGCAGACCATGTGCACCACCATGCCCCTGGTGCGCTCCTTTTCTGTCAGTTTGTACTTGCATCTTTCATTCTCCAAATTAACAGTGACCTCACCTCTACTTTCATTTAAGTGTTCTGTGGCTGCCCTTCCACAGAGCAGCCTCAGTTTCCTGTTCCTCGTTGGCCAGGAGCCTGCCTGCGAGTGGAGGCTGCCAAATCTCTGGTGCAGGGGCTGGAGATAGCTCAGTAGAATAAGAGCTTCCCTGGCAAGCGCAAGGTCCTGAGTTCAATCCCCGGTACCGCAAAAAGGGAAAAGAAAAAAAAGGATCCTCCTGCTTCGGCCTTCTGGAGTGCTGGGCTTACAGGCTTGAGCCACCACACCCAGCAGGTTCAGGGTTTAGTGTGACGACACCCTGAAAGGGTTTGAGTGTGATTTCGGCCCAGGGCTGGGCACGCGGCGCTGTCTCACTTTGTGCCGCTGTGCCCCCCGGGGATGCGCCCTCGCCTTGGGAATTGGCCCGGCCCTGCACACCCAGGTGTTCTTCCTTCCCTCTGCCGATGAGGCACTGCTGTCACTGCCATCGCTTCATTCCACAGCGGAGGAAACCCAGAGTTGAGCACGGTGCCAAGGTCACTCAAGGTCACTTACTGACCTCACCAACAGTGGAGAAAGGGCCCAAGTCATGCTCTCCAACTGCAGAGCTGCACCTCCCAAAGGCTCTCGGGGGCCAGTTCCTGTGCTGGGGGGGCAGGGGGCCAAACCCTGGCCTCACTGGGGACAGCCCACGGCCCATTCACAGGCTGATGTGAAAGCCACACCCCTCAGCTGTCACCCAGTCTTTCATCCCTGCCAGTCACCCACCAGATAGTAACAACAGACCTAGACTCTGATGGGCCAAAGCTGGGGCCAACATCTCGCTGGACCAGGTCGCTTCTGAAGGAGCCAGGCAGAAAGAACTGGCCCCTCTGGGGAACTGGGCCTCGCCCGAGATGTGGCCTCATCCCAGGAACGGTGTAGCTGCTTCAGTGGCTGAGTAAAGCTGGAAGGTGGGTGGCAGGGCAGAGCCAGCCAGGCCTCAGGAAGGACCGCCGGCCAGGCTGTGGTGGGTGTCTGTTCAGAGACAGGGCCACGCCACAGTTTGCTTTCCTGATGCCGAAGTGCTGATAGCTCTCAATCAGCTACACTGAATGAAAGAGAGGCTCAAACCAGGCACAGCAGTGCGTACCTGTCACCCCACCTGCTCTAGAGACTGAGGCAGGAGGAGGATTGGCGTTTGACAGCAACCTGGGTGACATAGCAAGACCTCCTCTCTCTGCAAAAACAAATGAACAAAATAGTCTATGATAATGCAAGTCATCCCAGCACTTGGGAGGCCGAGACAGGAGGATAACTGTAAATTCGAGGCCAGTCTGTGCTACATAACAAGCAAGCAAGAGATAGACAGACAGATAGACAGGCAGGCAGGCAGAGAGACAGACAGACAGTCAGACAGACAGAAGAAAAAAAAGAAAAGAAAACAAAAGAGGAAGAGTGAAATCTTGGGCCAGGCACGTAGCCTAGTGGTGGCATATGCCTGCTTAGCATGCACAGGGCCCTAGATTCTGCTCCATCCCCAAAAATGCAAAACAGAAAAACAAGTGATTATCATGGATAACTCACAGATTGTCCCAGGGTCGCTTTTGCTTTCCTTAGCATTTGAAATGTATTCTGAAGAGCCGAGCATGGTGGCGCACACCTGTCGTCCCAGCACTTAGGAGGCTGAGGCAGGAGGAACTGCAAGTTCCAGCCCAACCTGAACTACATAGCGAGCCCTGTCTCAAAAAAAAAAAAAAAAAAAAAAAAGCCCCCCCGAGGCCTGGTATCCCGTGGTGCTGTGTAAGAGCTGGGCCACTCTTCCCAGAAGTCAGCTAGCTGCATGCCCAGCCTTGGTCCTTCCCTAGGCGCTTCACCTGCAGAGCGGGGACAAGAACTGCCTGGTGGCCCGCTCCAAGTGCTACCTGAAGATGGGGGACCTGGTGAGGTCCCTGAAGGATGCCGAGGCCTCGCTGCAGAGCGACCCAACCTTCTGCAAGGTGGGGGAAACAATCCTGCCGTCCGTGCTGCTGCGGCCTCTGTGACAGAGCCCAGCTGCCCAGGCTCGGGGGCCATAGCCCACCTCCCCACGCGTCCTCTGCGCCCTGCTCCCCCATGCCTTCTATCACCACACCCGGCCACCTGGATCTGACCGCAGGGCATCCTGCAGAAAGCAGAGACGCTGTACACGATGGGGGACTTTGAGTTTGCCCTGGTCTTCTATCACCGAGGCTACAAACTGCGGCCGGATCGGGAATTCAAAGTGGGAATTCAGAAAGCACAGGAGGCCATCAACAACTCGGTGGGAAGTGAGTGGCCCTGGGCAGGCCAGCAGGAGGGCTCTGGAGGCTCCAGGCCCAGGGAAGGCCAGAGATGGGGGGAGGGCTCCGCTAGGACCTTAGGGACCTCACACCCGGCCTGGCTGTTGCTCAACTTTTACTTATTTTGTTTGTCATTGAGACAGGGTCTCACTCTGTAGTTCAGACTGGCCTTGAACTCACGGTATAACACAGGCTAGCCTCAAAGCTCCCACTGATCCTCCTGCCTCAGCCTCCCCTGTGTGGAAGTGGCAGGCATGCGCCATCACGCCCAGTGTGGGGGATGTTCGGAGGCTAGGAACTTCCCCTGTTTTCCTCCAAGAGCACTTCCTCCTGGAGTCTCAGGATGGACGGAGCCTCTTGTCCAGCTGTCCCCAGGCCCCAGCTCTTCCCTCGTCCTGGTTTTGCCCAGCTGGCTCCTTAGCAGGGGAGGAGGAGTTGGGGGAGGGGTTGCTTGGTTATCCGTGGGCAGTACGGTGCAAAAATGACACGGCATGGGGTTTGGAAACGCAGGTGCCCTGGCCCTTGCCTGCTGGAGCCACCCCAGGGCTTCCCCCACCCCCCAGCAGACCTTGCTGGGCAGTGTTGCCTGGCACAGAGGGGTGACAGGTCGTCCCCAGAAGCCAGCTCATCGGCACCCCATCCCGCAGGTCCTTCCTCAATTAAGCTGGAGAATACAGGGGACCTCACCTTCCTGAGCAAGCAGGCCGAGGTAGGCACTGGCACAGGTCTCTAGGCCTCTGGGGTGGACACCACTCTGCAAGTTCTCGGGGCAGCCACCCCCGACAGATGCATTAGATGGTTCTCGGCTACAGAGGGGTCTGTGGTGGGGGGTATGGATGTCCAGGCCTGGGGCCTGCGGCTTCAGCTCGGTGTCGCCATCCCAGACCATGAAAGCCCAGCAGCAGCCCCAGCCCTCGAAGCATCGGCTGCACCAGGTACAGATGGAGTCGAAGCGGAAGGGCTCGCTCAAGAGCGAGAAGACCATGCGCCAGCTGCTGGGTGAGCTCTACGTGGACAAAGAGTACCTGGAGAGGCTGCTGTTGGATGAAGGTGAGGCCCCTGGGCCAGGGAGAGCCCAGATGGACCTGCCAGGGAGCCCTGGCTGCCGCGTGCTGGTGGACAGGGCGACGGAGACGGGCTCTCACCATGCAGTCGAGACTGGCCTCGAGCTCTCTGTGTAATCCAAGCTGGCCTCAAACTCAGTGATCCTCCTGCCTCAGCCTCCTGAGTACTGGGATTAAAGGCATGAATGAATATGCCGGATTTAGACTAGTCTGACCATGTGGCTGGAAAGAGAAGTCCCCCAAGATGGGGGGCCTCTGGGGAGTGGCTTGCCCACACTCTTGTCACCAAGGAGGGCAGTCCCAGGAAAGCCCTCGCTGACCTGGCCGCCCCTGCTCTCAGACCTCATCCGGGGTACCATCCGGAGCGGAGTGACGGTGGAGGACCTCATCCTGACCGGCATCAACTACCTGGACACCCGCAGCAGCTTCTGGCAGCAGCAGAAGCCGATCTATGCCCGCGAGCGCGACCGGAAGCTGATGCGGGACCGCTGGCTGCGCGACCGCGGGCGGACACCGGCGCAGACCGTGCACTACGTGCTCAAGAGCCTGGAGGACATCGACATGCGTGCGTGCGCGTGCGCAGGCGGCCCGGGGGTGGGGTGGGGTGGGGGGGGCGCCTCCCTGCACAGCAGCGAGCTTAGCTCGGCTCTGCCCCCAGTGCTGAGCAGTGGCAGCGCCGAGAGCAGCCTGCAGAAGGCCGAGAAGGTGCTGAAGAAGGTGCTGGAGTGGGGCCCTGACGACGTGCCCAACAGGGACGAGCTGCTGGGCAACCTGCACAGCTGTATCGGGAACGCGCAGCTGGAGCTGGGCCAGACGGCGGCCGCGCTGCAGAGCCACCGCCGGGACCTGGACATCGCCCGGGAGCAGTGAGTGCCGGCTGAGGCTCGGCTTGGGGTGTGTGTGTGTGTGTGTGTGTGTGTGTGTGCACGTGCGGCTCCATCCTGAACTCCATCCTCAGCCCTTTTCATTTCTTAAGGTTTTGAAGATGCTGCCAAATTGCCCCAACTGGGCTCCAACTTGAGGTCCTCCTGCCTCAGCCTCCCAGGATGCTGGGATTATAGGCGTGATATTTATTTATTTATTTATTTATTTATTTTTTGGTGGAACCGGGGATTGAACTCAGGCCCTTGCGCTTGCCAGGGAAGCGCTTACTCCACCGAGCCAGCTCCCCCGCCCTGGTGTATTTCCTCTGGTGTCATCTCCACAAGCACGCATCACCAGACACACCAGCTACTGCCAGCACGGGGGACAGAGCAGGGACCAGACCCAGGGGTCCGTTTCCATCAGATATGCAACCCAAACTCCCCAGCTGCTTGTGGTGACCATGATGGGGTCTCTGGGCGGGCAGGTGGCCCGTGGGGGCTGCAGCGAGGGGCGGGGGAGCAGCTGGCTGGAAATCTCGGTGTGGCCGGGTGCTGTGCTGTGTGCGCAGCCCAGGCTTTGGACTGTGTCCCGCCTGCTTGGGACCCTGGCCTGGTCACCTCCACCTGCGGCCTCAGGCTGTTTCCTCCCCCAATTGAGCGGACACCGCAGCAGGGGGCCATGGCACATGCTGTCCTCACAGCTCGGGGGGGTCATAAGTTCAAACCCAGCCTGGTCATCTTAGTGACTTAGTGAGACCCTGTCTCAAAAAAAGAAAAAGGGCTGAGGGTGCAGCTCAGCTTAAAGGCCCTGCGTTCTATCCCCCAATAGGGTAAAAAAATGAACAAATAAAATCACACAAACTAGCAAAAAGCCCAATGGCACTCAGCCCAGGCAGAAAGGACTCTGACCCGAAGTTGTGGACCAGGAGCCTGGGACAGCCAGGCATGCGCAGCGCAGCGAGTGGCATCTCCAGTGCAGGGCAGGGCCTGGCACAGCGCCCAGCGTGCTCCTGGCCCTCACAACATCTGCTGTGAAGCCCTCGGCAGGCTGTGGCTTCCCTGGCATCTCCGCTGGCCTTTCCTGGCTCCCCTCCCCCTCCACTGGATGCCCCCTCCTCACCTGGCCCCCCATCCCTCAGTGCCCACCCTACCTGCCTCGCTGTCCTCAAAGCCCCATGGAGGTCTCTCTCCACCCCTCACACCTTGTGCTCAGCACTCGAGGCCTCTCCAAGCCCACACTGTGCCCTACAGTCCCACACTCAGCCCGAGCCCAAGTGTCCTCCTGGGACAAAGTCCCAAGGGCTGAAGATAGCAGAGCCAGGTGCAGACGCATCCAGATATGGGTTCCAGTCTCCTGTCTCACAGAGCTACACAGGTTTTAGTGGGCCCCAGAGACTTGGCCGCCTGCCCTGCAGCCGTCTGTCCACTCCGGAGGCCCCACCTTGCTGTGGGGCCCGGCCCTGGGGTCACTCTGAGCTTCATGGCTCGCCCCTGCCTCCGTCTTCCCTCCTTGGCCTCTGTTCCTTCTGCACCTTGGCCCACAGGGACCCCACGGTCATTGCTGTCTCCTATAACTCAAATTCCTGAGCTCTCAGACCCCAATGGAGGACAGACCAGGGCCGAGACCTCCAGTGTGGAGCCCGCCCTGCCTGGTGCTGGATTCTGGCCGATGCCTCAAGGCCCCCACTTCCTACCAGCATGTGGAGAGCAGCCCTGACCGCACCTGGGGGTGCACCCCTGTGACCCCACGCTGGCACTTGGGAGGCTGAGGCAGGAGGATCCCTGTGAGGGAGCCGACAGACCACAGCCTTGACAGTCCGGCCTGTGCCCCCCAGCTGGAGCCCCAAATCCCTGGGTCCCTGAGGCCAGGGTCTTTTCTTGCGGGTTCCTGACGAGTGGCTTAGTTTGTCCTCTCCCCACAGCGACCTCCCTGATGCAAAATCCAGAGCCCTGGACAACATCGGCAGGGTCTTCGCCCGCATCGGGAAGTTCCAGCAGGCCATCGACACGTGAGTGGCAGCGCTCCGGCAGCCCTTCGCCTGGTGCTGAGCTCGAACCCACACAGACGCTCCAGCAACCCCAACTACTAGAGCTCCCCAGGAGAATGGTTCCCCCCAGCAGGCGACCCCGAGTGACTGGTTCCCCCCCGGCTTGGTGTCTGTGTGCCCACAGAGGGTCAGTGTGTCTCCACCCCTCAGCATCCCCTGGTCTCAAACTGCTTTATAACAGTGCTTGCTGTTTGCACATTAGTTGGGAAAACACAGGAAAGTAACAGAGCTGGGCGTGTGAGCAACATCTGAATCCCAGCACTGTGGGAGGCTGAGGCAGGAAGGTGGCAAGTTCAAGCCCAGCGTGGGAATATAAGGATTTGGTGAGACCTTACCTCAAAAGGAAACATAAACAAAGGCTGGAGATCTGCTTTAGCTCTGTTCAATCTCCAGTGCAGAAAGAAAGAAAGAAAACCAGCCAGGCATGGTGGTGCACACTTGTAATCCCAGCACTTGGGAGGCTGAGGCAGGAGAATCCTGGGGAATTTGAGACCAGCCTGGGTCTTTTATTTATTTATTTATTTTTAAATTTTATTTATTTATGTGTGTGTGTCCAGCTCAGCCCACCAGGGGGCGGGACTGGCTGGCATGTGGTGCTGGGGATTGAACTGTGGTCCCTGTGCTTACTTAAAGCTTGTTCTAGACCACTGAGCCATCTCACCAGCCCCAGACCCTTTCTTTTTTTTTTTTTTTAATCTTTTTATTTATTTATTTATGTGTGTGTGTGGCCAGCCCAGCCCATGGGGGGAGGGGTGCTGGCTGGCATGTGGTGCTGGGGGATTGAACCGCGGTCCCTGTGCTTTGCTAAGCTTGTTCTAAGTAGGTGCTTTAGACCACTGAGCCATCTCACTAGCCCCAAGACGCTGTCTTAAAAAGACAAAAAAGATGGGAAAGAAAGAAGGAAAGAGCAGAATTAACATTGCTACCCAAATACAACTAGTAGGGGCCGGGGAGATGGCTCAGTAGGTAAGTGCTTGCCTGGCAAGTGCGAGGGCCTGAGTTCAATTCTCAGTTCTGCAAAAACAAAACAAACAAAAAAAAACCAACAACAACATCTAGTAGTAATTATACTCTGTCAATACTTTCGTTTTTCCTTGCTTTTTTCCTCTGTTGATTTTCTCTTTCAAGTGTATGTATGCATGGATTTTCTTTTGGTTTTTGCTTGTTTGTTTTTTGAGACGTGGCCTCACTGTGTTCCATGCTGGCATTGTACTTTCCGAGGTCCTCCTGCCTCAGCCACCCAGAGCGCAGGATTGCAGGCCCGTGCCGCCGTGCCCAGCGCTTTGGTCGTTTTGCTGTTTCTGCCGTCCGTTCACCCTGGCCTGGTGCCGGAGGGAGCTTCCTTTGCCCGGGACTGGGGTGGGGAGTGGGGAAGCGCTGACACAGTTTCCCCCAGGTGGGAGGAGAAGATCCCTCTGGCCAAGACTGCCCTGGAGAAGACCTGGCTGCTGCACGAGATTGGGCGCTGCTACCTGGAGCTGGACCAGGCCTTGCAGGCCCAGCATTACGGGGAGAGATCACTGCAGTTTGCCGAGGAAGAGGGTGACATTGAGTGGCAGCTGAATGCCAGCGTCCTGGTAGCCCAGGCACAAGGTACCTTGGAGCCAGTCACCCTGCTGTCCTGGCCCTGGGTTGAATCCCCAGCATCACAAAAGGAAAAATGCAGGGCCGGCCAAATAGCTCAGTGGATTAAAGCACCTGCAGGCAGGCTCAGGGGCGGGGGGTTTGATGCCAGCCCCAGCCCTGGGGTGCCGAGAGGGCCATTGAGACTGGGTGTGGTGGCACATGCCTGTAATCCCAGCTCTTGGGAGGCTGTAAACAGGTGGATCACTACGAGTCTGATCTAGTAGTGAGACCCTGAACACCCTGTAGACCCTTCCCTAAAATACAAAAAAAAGGGAAAAGAAAGAAAGAAAGAAAGGAAAAGGAGTCTGAAGGAAGCACAGCCATCAGTACACATCTGTGGTCCCAGTTACAAAGGATGCTGAGGCAGTAGCATCTCTTTGTTTTATTTTGTTTTTGTTATTTTTATTTTTGAGAACCACTACGCAGTTCAGGCTGGCTTTGAGCTCACTTTGTAGCCCAGCCTGACCTCGAACCCCAGCCAATCCTCCTGCCTCAGCCTCCTGAGTGCTGGGATTGCAGGCGTGCGCCACCACGCCGGGCAGGAGGACCTCCTGAGTGCAGGAGTTGCAGACTAGCCTGGCAACACAGTAAGACCCCGTCTCTGGTGTTTTGTTTTTGTTTTTTGCGGAACCGGGGATTGAACTCAGACCCTTGCACTTGCCAGGGAAGTGCTTATTCTACTGAGCCGTCTCCCTGCCCAAGACCCCGTCTCAGAACAAAAATTTAAAATAAGACACAAATAAACATCCATCAGAGTTGCATTTCCTGTAAGGTGGAAACAGGGAAACAGCACAGGAAGTTGCTGATCACCTCCTTGTGCAAGGATCCAGGTGGAGGAATGTCATAGTGTCCCAGATAATGTGGCTGTTATCTGCCTGGTCCTGCGCTGCCTAAGGCCAGATAAATAGCTTGGGCTTGTCTTGGTTGTGACAGAACTTTAAGGTTTGTGACACCACTTAGATTTTTGAGACAGGGTCTCACTGTGCAGCCCAAGCTGGCTGGAACTCCCGGTGATCCTCGTGCCTCAGCCTCCTAAGTGCTGGGATGACAGCCGTGCGCCACCACACCTGGCGCTGCACCCGGCACCACGTCGATTTTGAGCCTGGTCTGGCTGAGGCCTAGTGCTGGAGCTTACGGGGGCTTGGCACAGTTTGGAGCCCTGGGTCTGGCCTATGCGAGGTAACTACTCTGCCACTGAGCCACACCTCCAGCCCTTTAAATTTTTTTTTTTTTTTCGGAACCGGGGATTGAACTCAGGCCCTTGAACTTGCCAGGGAAGCGCTTATTCCACTGAGCCATCTCCCCGGCCCAAAGCCCTTTAAAATTTTAAGCAAGAGTCTTGTTAAATTGCCCAGGCTGACCTCAAATTTGAGGTCCTCCTGCCTCAGCCTCCCAAGTGGGCCTAGCAGGCTGTTAATCTGGGAGCTTCCCTTATCAGATGTGCAGGTAACAGTGCGGGGGTGGGAGGAGGAGCCAGTGTGGAGCTGGGTGTGACAGTCCTGTGCAGTCATGGCCGTCCGAGTCTGCCCCTTGCAGGGGCTGTTCTGGGCTCTTGTAGCAAGAGCTGCCTGGGCCCTTAGAAAAAGCAGTGTGGCTCAGCCTGCAGCCAGTGTGGACGTGTGTGTGGGTCCACCGCGCAGCAGTGCATGTTCGTTCCACAGGTTGCGGGCCACAGTTCCCCAGCTGTCCCTGTGAGTGTGATTCTCCTTGTCACATGTATGGGAGACAGACTGGTTTTATTTATTTGTTTGAGATTGAAGCCAGGGCCTTTGCACTGAGCTGCACCCATCCCTTTTTATTTTTTATTTTATTTACAGACAGGGTCTTGCTAAGTTGTAGGTTGCCCATGGTGGGCTGGAACTTGGCAGCCTCCTGCCTCAGCTTCCCCAGTAGCTGGGATGACAGCAGTGCGCACTACTCCCTGCTGTTTCTGAAATTGTGGGATGTCTGTGACACAGTGTGGGGGTCCCCATCAATCCCAGGGGACACTTGAGCGCTGGACCAGCAGGGCGGCCCGGCCTGGCCATGCCTCCGGGGTGGATGCAGTGTGGGAGTGGGTCGAGTCTGGTCCAGGACCCAGGGTCACGCCCGTGGCGGCTCCTCCCTTGCTCCAGTGAAGCTGAGAGACTTCGAATCGGCTGTGAACAACTTCGAGAAGGCGCTGGAGCGGGCGAAGCTGGTGCACAACCAGGAGGCGCAGCAGGCCATCATCAGCGTGAGGGGCGGGGCCGTGCGGGCGGGGCCTGGGCGGGGCCTGCTGGGTGCCCCCCCCCTCTTGTCTACACTGTAGCAGTCTGCCTTGGGGCACACGTGGGGTCCTGAGTTCCCTCCCACTGGGGCCCTGCGCACAGTGCCACACGAGCTGTGTATCCTAGCACTCAGGAGGCAGAGGCAGGAGGATTGCTGTAGGTTCAAGGACAGCTTGGGCTTCATGGACTGTTTCAGAAAGCCAAAGGGTGGGAAGTTCCCCGAGCTGAGTCGTGCAGGGTCTAGCCTGGCGGGGGCCCAGGAAGCTCTGTGTGGGCCGGAGGGTTAGGACAAGTGACACCAGCAGAGCAGCGTTACAGCACAGCCTCCTGCGAAGGGTGGAGTCACCTTGAAGGGCCACGGGCGGAGGAAACGCTGTCCACGGGACGGGTCCCCAACCCCTGAGCTCCTAGCCTAGCAGCTCCAGCAGGAAGCCTCCGGGGGCCAAGGCCGGCCCCTCGCTTCCGCAGAGGACAGCAGGCACTCAGGCCATGCGAGTAGAGGAGGGTGGAAGCCGCTCTCCGGACCTGGCTGCTGTGTAGGAGGCTGAGGCAGGAAGGCTGCTGGAGCATAGGTCTGTGAAGCCAGTGTGGAGAGCACCCTGAGGCCCTGCCTCAGACATAAAAGGCCCACGGACTGCAGTTCAAGCTCCTGGGGACACTATGTGGCTCTGGGAAGCCCCCGAAAGGGCTCAGTCCCTCCGCTGACCCCTTCTTGGCCTCCCAGCACTCAGGAGGCCAAGAGCAAGTGGAGGCGGCAGGACTGGAGCCTGCACCACCGGGGGCCGTGGTGGCACTTGGGGCTGTGTGGCCCAGGTCCGCCCAGCCCGACCGAACAACCTCGAAGGGGAGGAAATGCTCCCCGCCGAGCTGCAGGCCGGGGTCCTGGCCCACAGAAAGGAAAGGGGGCCACAGGTCACTCCGGGGCCTTCGGGACAAGGGAAGGGACAGAGCCTGGGCAGGAGGAAGCACAATTGCCAACAGGTGAAGCGTGCTCACCAAGCCCCAGGAGGTGGCATGCCTGCCAGCCCAGCTGTCCAGGAGGCTGAGGCAGGAGGATCCCAAGTTCAATTCCCAGCCCTGCACAAAAGGAAAGAAAACGGAGCTTACCAGGTCCTCTGTCCACAGGCCTTGGATGACGCTAACAAGGGCATCATTGAAGAGCTGAAGAAAACCAGCTACAAGGAGATGTTCAGAGTCACAGGTGAGGGGTGGGGGAGGTGGCTCAGCGGAATAAGCGCTTCCCTGGCAAGCTCAAGGGCCTGAGCTCAATCCCCAGTTCTGCCAAAAAAACAAACAAACAAAAAAGCCCAGAGTCACAGGTGAGGCCCTGGACCAAGGGGGCAGCCCTGAGCCCCTCTGCTGTATCCGGCCAGGATGGCACTGCCCACTAAACTGCCCTCTGCCATCTCCTCCTCTTCCTCCTTTTTTTTTTTTTTTTGTTTTGTTTTTTGAGACAAGGTCTCACTATGTAACCCAGGCTGGCCTTGAACTTGGGGTGATCCTCCTGCCTCACCCCCCTGAGCACTAGTGCTGGGATTACAGATGTGCACTGGCACACCCAGGCTGGTCCTTTTTGTGGTCCTGTGTACTGAACCCAGAGTCTTTAGTGAGCTCCACCCCATCCCTTTTTTATTTGAGCCAGGGTCTTGCTAAGTTGTCCAGGCTGGGCTTGGACTTGGGACTCAGTTCATTTTTCAAGTTATTCAAGTGGCTGCACTCCTGTCAGTCCACACTCTGGGAGGCTGAAGCAGGAGCATCTCCAATTTGAGTTCAGCTTGGGAAACTCAGCAAGACCCTGACTCAATCTTGGAGCCTGGGGAGGCCCGCCGAGAACAGGACTTCTAAAAGGCAAATATGTCTGGAAGACTGTGGTGCAAGGCCATTTTTGTTGGCTATCAGCGGGGTCTCTGGAACCAGAGGGAACCCGCAGCTCTCCTTAAAATTGAAGGTGTTTATGCCCGGGGGAAACAGAATTCTACTTGGGCAAGAGATGTGCTTATGTGTACAAAGCGAGAAGCAACGCAGTGACTCCAGGTGGCAAACCAAACAAAACCAGAGTGATCTGGGGAAAAGGAACTCGGGCGCATGCGGCGCGGTTCGTGCTGAGGCCATCGGACACCGAATCCGTGTGATGCTGTACCCTCAGGAATTTAAACTGGGGCCGGGGAGATGGCTCAGTGGAATAAGCGCTTCCCTGGCAAGCGCAAGGGCCTGAGTTCGATCTCCGGTTCCAGAAAAAAAAAAAAAAAGAATTTAAATTAACAGAAAATAAATGTGCATTAAAAAAAAAAAAAGACCCTGACTCAAAATGAAAAATAAAAAAGGGCAGGGGATACCGGGCTTTGATAAGGGAGACAGAGGCTGTGCTTGGACATTTTTCCAGGCGGCAGGGGCAGGAGGGGCCTTTCCAGCACATCCATGTCCAGCGACCCTCTTGTGCCCTTGCACCCCCCTCCCCCAGGGCTGGCACTGCTCTCGGGGACCTGGAGGCTGATCTGCCAGCCAGGGTCAGAGAGGTGGCGCCAGTGGCCAGACTAGAGCAGCCACTCTCCTAGGACAGCCCAGAACTGCACCTTTGCCTCCTTTCTCAGGGCCTCAGGAGGCCGAGGCTGGGGGTCGCTGCCTCCCATTCTGGGACCCCACAGGGAAGGGGAAGAAGGTTGGGTAGAGGGTGGGCGCGGCCACCTGGGCTGGTCTACCCTCAGGAACAAGTGTCCCCTCTGTGCCCCAGGAGGCGCACTCCCTATACACACCAGCAGGTGGCAGTGTCGCTTGTCACCTCCAGGGTCTGTGACCTTGGACAGCTGGAGCCGTCGCTGCCTTGGGGACCTTAGCTTCTGGAAGGGCTCAGGGTAGGTGCAGGAAGAGCCTGGCTACTCTGTAACTGGTCGCCATCCATCCAGGTCCCCTGGGCACAAGGTGTCGCTCCAGCAACAATTTTTTTTTTTAATTTTTTTTTTTTTTTAAATTTTGCACCCTGATGGGGCCGGTGAGATGGCTCAGTGGTCTAAAGCGCCTACTTAGAACAAGCTAAGCCTAAGCAAAGCACAGGGACCGCGGTTCAATCCCCCAGCACCACATGCCAGCCAGCCCCCGCCTCCTGGTGGGCTGAGCAGGCCACACACACACTAAATAAATATTTAAAAAAATTTTTTTTTGCACCCTGAGACAGGGTCTGCATTGCAGTTCAGACTGGCCTTGAACTTGCTTTGTAGCCCGCTGTACCCTCTCCTCCCCGGCCCCGTTTTGCAGAAGAAGTCCTTGTGGAGCCCGAGGAGGAGCCGGCCAAGAAGGAGTCGAAGCGCACGCCGGATGCACCCGAACGGGTGATGCGACAGTGGGACAGGGAGCCAGTGAGGGAGGCTTCGGACGAGGAGCTCCACTTGGCCCTGCAGGGAGCGCGGATGGACAGGAGTGGACGTAGCTCCTCGGAGGAGGCAGCCGTGGGCAGGACACCCAGCGGGGACACGATGCCTCCTGGGGAGAACAGATCACCACCGCCGAGAGAGCTCTACCGGAGGTCCTCGGGGGAGCTGGCGGGTGACCTGGAAGAGTCCCGCGGAGAGGACTCGGGCGGAGCGGAGGGGCCAGGGCCCAAGGCCGGAGGGGGAGAGCTGGGCCCGGGGGAGGGTGGAGCCCCGAGAGCAGCGGAGAGCGCCGCAGGGGCGGAGGCGCGCCCCGGAGACGGAGCGCCGTAGGTCTGCACTTGCACTGGTCATGCTGAGGCCCGAGCGAAGAAATGTTTTCGGGCTGAGGAACAAACACGGCGCCCGTCCCAGGTCTCCTCGGCCTCCGCGGTCACTGTTTGCCCATTAAACGTGATCTGCCAAGCCACAAGCCCAGTCCTGGCCCTTTTCTCTCCCCTCACCCTTGCTTTTCTTTCCTGTCTGTAGGGATGGGTGCGGGCTCTTCACACCGGTCTCCACCTCCAGCCTTTCTTTTAGCTTTTTTCAAACACGGTCTTGCTCGACACATTGAATTTGCGATCCTGGCCAGGGATACAGCTCAGCGGCACAGTGGCCGTCTGAATTTGCGGTCCTCCTGGCCCCACCTCCAAGAGGCCTAGGTGACAGCGTGGCCCCAGCAGAGCTCCTCCAGGCGAGTGTGGGAAGAGAGGAAACGGGGCGCTGTGACCTCTGGGGCGAAGAAGCAGAGAAAGCCCCAGAGTCCAGGTGTCCGCCGCTCTGTGGCTGTAGGGGGCCTCCCCGCAAGGGGGTTAGGAGGTGGGTGCTGGGTCCCAACTGTGCTCCCCAGGGCCGTGGGAGGAAAAGCAGGGTGGGGGCTGGGCGGGGCAGCTGCACTATCGCTTCCTACCAGACGCAGCAAGTGGGTTCTGCTTGGCTACTGAGGACGGAGTCCAAGGCCACATGCACAGCATGAGAGCTGTAGTTCCAGCCCTTAGGAGGCTGAGGCAGGAGGATCCCTGAGTTTGAGGCCAGCCTGGGCGACACAGCCAGACACTATGTATAATGAAACAGTGTAAAAATGCAAAAGCAGACGATGAATAAAATGTCTTTTTTTTTTTTTTTTTTTTTTGTGGAACCAGGGATTGAACTCAGGCCCTTGTGCTTACCAGAGAAGCGTTTATTCCACTGAGCCATCTCCCTGGCCGCCCCCACCCCCGGTGTCTTTTTTTAAAGAGCAGAATACATTTATTGGGGGAAATAAAGCTCCTGTCCGAGAGGGACCCTAGTGGGTTGCCCCGTTTTTTGTTCTTGTTTTGTTTTGTTTTTCTTTATGGGACTGGAAATTAATCTAGCAGCCTTCAAACTAGACTATTTCCAGAACTCTTAATGGGCTCAATCCCCAGTGAGGTTAAAAAAACCCAAAAAACAAAAAACCACAGGCCGGAAAGCGGCTCAACCCCCTGGGCCCCGGACCTCTAGATCTGTTTCGCTTTCCCATCAGCGGCGGCTGCGCGGGGAAGGCTAACTCCGGGGGCGTGAAAGAGGCCGGAGGCCCTAACCCCGCCCCATCTGGTTCCTTCTCCGCCCCTAGCCCTGCCTCCTGAGCTACAGAAAGCGGCCCAGCGTGGTGTCCCCGCCTAGTTCCAGGTTCCGCCCCAGCTCAGGCGCGGTACCGCAGTTTTAGGGGCCTTATCCGCTAGCCTCCTTAGCCCCTAGGGCCCCGTTCCAGCCCCGCCTGACCCCGGCCGCGCTCGGGTCTTGGGACTGTAGAACCCCGCCGTGGCCCCGCCCCCGGCCGCCGTGGCCCCGCCCCGGCCGCC